TTGTACATAACATATGGAAGGAAGCAAGCGCCCCTTCTCCAGACACATCACACACACAGGTGTGTACCAGTCCTCTCAAACCAGAGGATATCTTGTGAATGTGCCTAGCTGCACTTCTAACACCCCTCTCTGCAGAGCTGAGAGCCAGCCATTACCTTTTCAGCCAGTGGGAAGGTGTAGTCAGTCTCCACAGCCACAGCCAGGACACGCTTGTACCCGTTGATGATGGAGTGGGGCACGGATGCAATGGTCGGGTACCCAATTTGCAGACAGATGCTGGCAACATTACGAACACCCTGTGAAGAAACAGACTTGTGTTTCCATGGTCTGAGAAATAATCTAGAAATCACAGCAGAGGATGCCCACGCGACAGCTTTTACACTGCCAACAGAAAGGGAAGCATGCACTGCACACTCCACTGAAATCAAGGCATCAATATTTAAATGTCACTGATCTCTGCTCTCTTGTAACCAATGACAGGACCTCAGAGAACGGCATAAAGCTGTGTCAGAGGAGTTTTAAGTGGAATAATAAGAAAAAGTTCTTCCCCCAGAAGGTGGTCAGGGACTGACTGAACAGGCTCCCCATGGAATGGTCCTGCCCCCAAGGCTGCCAGAGCTCAAGAAGCATTTGGACAATGCTCTCAGGCAAAGGGTAGGATTGCTGGGGTGTCCTGTGCAGGACCAGGAGTTGGACTTGATGATCCTTGTGGGGCCCTTCCAATTCAGGATATTCCATTATTTTAACTGGCCTCAAATGATTTCTGAGGCAGATTCAGATGAAGAATCCTGCAGGAAGGTACTCCCTGACAGTTTCTCTAGGGAACCAGAGAGAGCTCCTGGCTCTGCAGGACCTCATGGAAAACACCAGACAGGACACTGTTCTGGCTCCCAGAGCAGCTGTGACACTCACCTCCAGAAAGCGCTTGTGCAAGGTCTCCTCGGTGATGTCCAGCACTTCAGGGTTGTAAATGCTGCCATTATCAAAGACCTGCTGGATCACCAACCCAAAGGAGAACGGGGAGATGTTCAGCATGTTGAGCAAGGTGGCTTCGCTGGCACCCACTTTGTCTCCAGTCTTGATAAGCTGCACATCACTCTGAGATCAGGGAAAAGGAGTGAATACACACTGAGAAATTCCAGCACATCAAAGCAGTGGGACACAAACACAGACAGTGGAACTGGACAAGGAAATGAACACAACCAACATGCTCCATATTCAGCTCCACAAGCAGAGAAAGCTCCAGACTACATAAACAAGTCCATGAGAAAGGCACCACTTTTCCTGCATTACCTGCAGGTAGTTCACCTGCATGTTCCTCTGACAGAGCCTACCTGTGGAAATCTGATTAAGAACTTCAATCCCCCCACGCTGCACACTGAAGCCAAGCCAGACACCCTCCTCCAGATCCCAAAGTGCAATAATCCCACTGCTCATACAGTATCTTGGCACTAATGAGAGCTTTGGCCTTCACAGCTCCCTCAGCTGCCACAATCAAGGCCTCCCAGTTAAGGAACAGCTCGAACAACTGCAGCTCACTGACCAGAATTTCAATGGTTCCTCTGGAAATCTTTGTGGTGATGCCCAAGGCCTGGAAAAAGGAGGTCTTCTCAGGTCCAAGGCCTGTGTTCTGGGCTGGCACAGTCACATCACAAGGAGCGATAGCACCGGCACGGGCAGCAGCTGGCACCTGAGTGGGGAAAGACAAGAAGCTGCAAGAATGTTCACCTCAGATCCTGGGGGATCACCTCCTCCCTGACATGCTCCTCCATGAGACAGCACCCAGGCACACACAAGTGAAGCAGCTAAACTTAAGCAGTTTCGCTAAAACTGTAAGGGCCAATTCCCAAGCCTTGATGATTTCCTGTCCCACGTGAAGACTCAGTTTTATTTTGTATTCCATCTCAGCATACACACACAGTGAGGGATGATCTCCCTTACCTTGTTAGCCAGCAGCATGTCCCGGATCTCAGTCAGATCCTCCTTAGTGAAGACAAAGCCCACATTCCCACGGATGTGAGGCAGCAGCCTGAAGAAAAGATGACAGCCTTCAGTTTTATTCCTTAGACAACCTCCCCTCCTCCTAGACAGAGAACCCAGAAGTGCCCTCAGGCAGCATTACCCACTTTTCTAGAGCAGGGTTATTCTCCAGATGACCACGAATAGCTTTGCGCATCATCGTATTCTTCCCCATCAGCACAACAGCTTTTCCACGCAGGGACATACGGATCTGCTGCATCTGCTTGGATCCCACGTTGTCTGCTCCCACAATGAAACATTTTGGGTAATCATCCAGGAGTTGCTAAAGCAAAATAAACACTGTAACTATACAAAGAAATTCAGAGCAGTGCATAGAGCAACATTAAAATCGCAACACATTAAATTGTAAAAAAAGCCTGTCAGAAGTTTGAGTATGATGAGCTCCAAATGAAACCAAGTCTGCCAGAGGCTGCATCTTTTACTCAGCCATCGAGTCACATCCCTGAATAAGTCTGCAAGCACCACGGCAAATTCTCAGGCCTAATCTGGACTATTCCAGATCGCTTCCTAGTGCCAGGAACTCGTCCAGACACCCCACAGCACCCAGCTATTTATCTTAAAAGCTCCCACAGCCCGGCCCGCCCGGTTCCCGCTGCCCCGAGCCTGCCCCGCCAGCGCCCCACGAGGGCTCCGAGTCGACACTCACGATGATTTTCATAAAATAGTTGGACTTCCACGTAGCCCTGTCTTCCCTGGGCATCTCGGCGGTGCTCCAAGGATCGCCCGGTGGGTTTAAAGACGAGCTAGGACCTGCCAGGAGAGGAGCGGCTCAGGTGGATCCCCACCGTTCCCTTCCCTCCGCCCTGGGCCCAGCGCTCCCAAGCCCACCGCCTAAGCTCAGCCCAGGACCCCGCTCCTGGTGCCGGTCCGCTCCCCTCGGCGCGGCCGCCCAGCCCCAGCCGCGCCCCGGAGCCGCCGCACCGCGCCCGCACCTCCACGAGGGCTCCGGGAAAGAAGGGCCGCAGGGCGGGCCCGTCTCCTTTTATACTGCGGTTTATGACCAATCGCAGAGCGCCGCGGCGCTGCTTCCCCTCAGCCCATTGGCTGCCCTCTGCGTCAATCATCCGCCGCTCTGCGGGAAGCGCGTGACGCCAGCGGAAGGCGCGAAGAGCGCGGGAGCGCGGGCGGCCGAGCGCGCGCCGCCCCCTGGCGGCCGGAGGAGCGCACTGCCCCCCCCCCCCCCCCCCCCCCCCC